TCATGAGAGAATTCACGTACGCAACTTTTTCCAGATTTGACTTACATACATACATAATGATAACCTTCACAGTCCACATCTTGTCACGAAGCATTGCTATGTCATTTCACTTACATACATACATAATGATAAGGGTAGAATTGTTCCTTCATTTTATTTTATTTTTTACCCTAATAATTAAAGCTTTAGTTTAGTGGGGTATTATAATAATCACACTATAGTACTATACTACTCTCTTTTTTATCCGAATTTGACGTCGCTTTGCTAAATGGTAGTAGGTGGGAGCCTATAATTTTCATTTCGACCATAACACAGTTCATTTAGGTAAAAGATTTTAAGGTCAAGCCTCACACGCAAATACTACTCTTGTTAGGGGCCTGCAAATCAAATAACAACTATATTATTGTTTGGCATGTAAATGTGTGTTAAGAGAGCAAGAACGACGAGAATATATATATAGTACAAGAGAAAACTTGTATATATATATATATATATCTTGACTTTTGGTCAAGCCCATAGTTTGACTGGGTCAAAGATGCGATAATATTGTTTAATGGTTTGGCTACCGACCTGGGCAAATTTTATTCGCTAAACATGCAGCTGTGCCTACCTGAGTTTAGGAGAGACAAGATAATGGTAGCAGTTGATTCATACCTAAATTTGGCGTTCATCGTTTTCAATTCAGATGAACTTGGAAAATATTGCTTAATGTTATATATAGGGTAGCTTTGAGTTCTGTTCGAGTTAACGTATGGAGTGTTTAACCTTGCCATGTTTCAAATGATCATGAGCCAAAGATAAAGCCTATAAAACAGTATCTCAGCAGCGATTGATGGTTTGCGATAAAATGACCAAAGAAAAAAAAAAAGAAAAATCCAATTGAAGCATTTGTCACGCCGTCATGAACTATTTGAAACTACATTCTTCTTTGTGTTTTTTCTTTCAAGAAAAAACTTTCTGGATTTTGACATCAATGTGGTGATTGCATGTAGTAATTAGACGCCAAGACTGCCCCTTCTTAAGCGATAATATAGTCCATTGGATTTGTTTAGCTTTTTACGCAATAGAAAAAGAAAAGTTATAGCTTTTGAGTTAGTATATTTAGATTTCTTTTGAATATTTAATAGAATAAAAATAATGTTTAAATTTTTTTATCAAGTAATAAAAATGTTAGAATAAAGTTTGTAATATTTCATCAAAAAACTCTGATAAAGTTTTCAAAATTAGTTTTCTTAGAAGAATTTTTTGAGAAGCTAATATTTTCTCACTTTGACGGGAAGCTAGGGTCCGTTTAGTTCGTTGATTCGAGTTTTTAATTCGAGTTGAGATGTGACTTTATATGAGAGCTTTTTACTGTAGTAAAAAAGTTAGATGTGACTGTTTCTGAGAGCTTTTTACTGTAGCAAAACTCGAATCGGTAAAATGAACGATATCTAATTTTAATAAATCATCACAATAAAGTGAACAAACAACAACTACTGGGGGAAAAAAATTAAAAAAAAAAAACGGATTATAAGAAGGGAAACGACGTCAGACGACTACATGAACAGACTATATGAAACGACAACATATGTTGGAAACGACAAAGGAAGAAAAACTACATGCTCTGGGGGGAAAAAATAAATTGAAAAACGAGAAAGAAATCCGAGAAAGACGGTAGGAAGAATTACAAAACCACATCATATTTAAGAAAGGTAAGAAACGAATGAAAAATAGAATAAAACTCAAACAAGAGCGTAGGTAAGAAATGACAAGTGATGTACGAAACAGAAAGGAAAATGAAAATATCAACAAGAAGGAAAGCAACAAGCAAAAACACGACAGCACCGTGGAAGAGGGAGATGAAAATGGTAAAACCACGAGAAAAATCGAAAAATAAAAGAAGACGGAAAACTAAAAAAAAAGAAGACAAACGACAATGAAATAAAAAGCAATCATATAATAGCATCGTTCGAAATGTAATGCTATAATTAATGTGCCAATTATAAATTTAGTATTTGAGTACAAAAAATAATATCTAATGCAATATTATTTATTGTATCAAATTTTTCATATGTAATACTTTGTGGTAAGTTTCTCACTAAGTAGCATATAAAAAATTTGACATTTGATTTTTATTGGTTAAAATGTTTACTTTTTTATATAATCATTACAATTTTTATATTTTCTAATTATTTTAAACATAAAAAAAAATTTATTTTTACAACTTTCAAAGCTTAATAATTATAAAAAAAAATAAATTTAGCATTTCAAATAGCGTTATGTATCGAAACAAAAATGAAAATAACATATCATATAATATTTTTTGATAGTAAAAATACAATTAATTTTAGTATTTACATCGGAGATGATCTAAAGAAAAGCTACAGGAGCATAAAAAGGCCACAAAAAATGGAAAGTAAAAATCAGAAGTGAAAATGAAAATGAATTTGAAAGCGAAATGAGGACAATTTATAACGGGAGAAAAAAAAATAAGAAAAAAAAAGAGGCACCTAGAAACGACAAGAAATTGAAGAGACGACAACAAATAAAATGCCGGTGACTGTGAGTCTTCCTAATGCTGATCTCAGTTAGCAATAACATCTAGGGCTGAAACATTGGAGGATGGCCAAAGAGAAAAGCAGAGGAACATAACTAGGATAGATCATTTCTTAAAAAAAAAAAAAAGAAAAAAAAAAAAACTAGGACAGATCGTAGTTCAAGAGTCGCTTGTGTAACCACCTTGATTTTCCAATGTCGCTTGGTGTACACAAAACATCGACTTCGAATGGAACACTGGATGCCCACATTTATTTACTGGCACGAGAACGAAACGGCACAAGAAGCAAGAAACGACGCGCAGAAAGAAGATGACAACAGAAGTGAGAAAGAAAAGACAGGCAATATAAACGTAGTACCAATAAACAAAATCGAAAAGGGTATGCAACGACAAAAGCGAAAAAGTGACAACCATTATGAAAACGACAAGAATATAGAAAAAGGTGCAGTATATAGGAAAGTAATAGAAACGGCAAAGGAAGACAAAACCACAATGAATGGAAAAACAGAAACAAGGATAGCGAATGGGAAAAAAAAAAAAAAAAAAAAAAAGAAAAGGAAAACCTCCCAGCAAACTTGAATAGTGTTAAAAGAGCCACGGCATAAAGCGGCATTAAAATAAGTAAAAAGCAACAGAGAAAAAAGAGTACTAAATAACAGGATAAAAAGAAACGACAACGAAAGTAAGAAATGACAAGACAAAACGTCAAGTGTTCTATTAAACGAAGTTTTTGCCTTTTTTTGGCATTAATGTCCCTCTATGTTTCATGATTTGGCACAGAACGTGAAAAGGCGACGATGTATTAAAAAAAAGGATAAAACGACATGGAAAGGGAAATTACAAAACGAAGACGGAAAACGACAAAAGATTAATAATATCAACCATACGGAAAATAGACGACAGGTGCATAAAAACGACCAGAAAAAGGGAAATGAAACAACAGGGAAAAACTAAAACGAAAAACAATAGGAAAGAAAGCAAAACACATAAGAAATTAGATAAAGGACAACAACTAAAATGCCACGAATCGAGTATTTCAAATGTTATCGGTTAGCAAATAGAGGGTAAAAGCCTAAACGATTGAATGAGAGAGAGATGGCCAGAGGAACTTAACCGAAAAGGACTTTAGAAAAGTTGGAGAAAAATTAGGAAATATTTTCCTTTCCACTCACTTTTTAGTGGGGGGTGTCATTCTCTTAGATTTGGGCTTTTGAAGTTGATACGAGAAAAGAAGAACAGAAAAGGTATAAATCTTTTGTGTCCAATAAGAGATTTCTCTAAAATTTCCTTTTATTCGACGGGGCATCTTTGTCCTTTTGGGTGGAAAACAAGTAAGTGGGCTCTTATACGCAGCATATGCATTGTTAGATGAGTACCGCGGGCTTGGTTCTTTCTTACTCTGCGAATGGGATGAAAAGTAAATAGATTTACACCCACTACATTTATTAATGTCCCCATTAAATTATAATTTATATTTATTATAGTCTTATCAATCTTTAAAATTACATACATAAAAACCTAATATACGCAAACATTAACTATTACAAAAATACATTTGTTGAAGAAATAAAAAATCACACACCCACGTGAAAACATGATGATAGAAGTGTTTTCGTCCCGCAACATTTTTTTTTTTTTTTTTTTTTTTGGCTACAAGTAACTTCGGTGCTCTTGTAGAGTGTAAACAAGCAAACTAAAACCGATAAATAACACAATCAAATTAGATTCAAAAGTCATAGAATTGTAGGGTCTGTAAAAAAACAAAAAAAAAGTCTCAGAACTGTTGTACACGATGAAGTTAATTTTAATTAAATTAGGTAAAAAAAAAAAATAGTGTCCTTTCACAAATATTAGCACTTATAAATTATAAACATACACACACACATCAACCGGACACTCATTTTGTTGAGGTATTTTTTGTACTTCTCTAACTTGCATTCCACGATAAATTTCTTAGGTTTAAATAAGACATTTGATAAATAAAGGTAAAATGGACAAAAATGATTGATGAATTACAATGATTTTGAAAAGAAAATATAATATTAATAACTGAAAATGGAAGGGATTATATTATCTTATAAGTTAAATAATAAATTAACAAAAGAAAATATAATATTAAAAGTTAAAAATGGAAAGGGATTATATTATTTTATAAGTTATAAATTAAAATTAAAGTGGAAGTAGGAGAGGGTTAAATTAACTATTATTAAAATAATATCTATAAAAAGATAGTTTTTTCAATTCTTTATTTAAAAAGTATTAATTATTGGGGGCTTCCACAGACTTTGGGGTAAAAAATAACTAATCAAACCCAATAAGTATTTGAAACTTCCTAAATAATCAAACTATCAATACTAGCCTCATTAGTTTTAAATTAATAAATTATACGTCAACACTAGTTCGAGTTTTGAAAAAAGAAAAAGAAAGAAATTGATGAAAGGGAACAGGACAAAATATCCACTTGTAACATAAGGATATTAAATACTGCCAAGTATTGCATGTTTTTCTTTCCTTGTGTATAAGCCAATCCCGAAGTACCGAGGGCTTTACAAGAGTACACGAGGTATTAAAAGAAAAAAGTAACGAAAAAAGGAAAGAAAATTATCGTTACATCTATAATTCTATTTGCAATATTTCCAACATTTTTTTTTTTAATTTTATTTCCTAATTCTACAAACAAATTGTAATATAGTTATTAGAAATCAAATTAATTTGGCTCTCACTGATTAGGTAGACGCAGCTACTAGTAGTACTCACAAAAGCTCATTTCCAAGTGCTAATATCACAAGGAGAGCAACCCTCTTGAGCAATATCATCAATTTGAACACCGGAGTCATATGTGACCCCAGGCTTCCAGTCCGAAGGAAGCACACTCTTAGCCCAAATCCATTTCCCGTCGTAACCCGCCGTCACCACAAACCGGAATTGCAATGCCCCCGCCGGAACTCTGCTCGTGTTCCACACTGCCCCATAATTTCGAGTCAGGAAGCCCCAATTCGACGAACCAACCTAACCCATTATTATTTTAATTAGTAGGTATAATTGAATATTAATCGTTACAAATTAAATTATAATAGTGTATGATTGAACTAAAACTAGACAGTGACAAACCTGAGCCACATCAATGGCAACTATTTCTGTCTGACCGCCTTGGTATAGTATTTTGATTGCTAAATAGTTTGATTTTTGGCTTGATTCCTCCACGCGCACTGCCAAATTTTGGCTCTTGTATTCACAAGGTACCCTGCTCCAAATAGCCAATAAAAAATTCAAATAAGAGCTCTAATAATATCTTAGAGAGTAAAATAATAATTTGGTGTCCCTAAAGACCAGCAATTAATCCAGGGACTAATGATTTGCTGTCTAACTATTTTTTTTTACTTCTATTCTTATTTTTTTTTTTACTTCTAGCATTTTCATTCTATCTAGATATTTTTTTATGTCGTGAATCATTTTGGACCGTTAGTGCATTAATGAGCTTGTTCTTTTGTCCGGGCAGACCTGTATTATTTTCAACGGTCTATAGCTCCAATCTATGTAGTGGTTGCAACAAAACCATTACCCTAAAAGTCTCGAAATAGTCAAACTTTGACTTTTCCCGCTGAACCTATCTTCTTCTTTATTTTTAGGGGAAAAAAAAATAAAAAAAATGGTTTAAGAGCTTTGAATTAATAATGCGAATTTTGCAGAATTTCAAATGTACATAAAAATGCTCACCTCTTGTACTCAACGTCCACAATCCCAAGCTTCAAAATATCTTTGTCCGCACCTTTCCGAGCCATGGCTCTGAAAGCTCTACTGCTCAGAACAAAATCTGTTCTGTTATTGGGATTGAGATCAGTCACTATTACTCTGGTCCCTTCTTTGGTACAAAGATTAGCGTTCTTGCATCTTATCTGTTACATATATTCAAAATCATATATACGGAAATATATATATATATATATATATATATATATATAAAACTAAAATTGTCCCAGTTATAAACAGAAAATTGAAACTTGAACAAAGTAAAGTTAAAGTAGAAGTTGTAGAGTAGAAACCTGAAAACAAGCACCACAACCAGCACCATCTTTGTAAATTGAAGGCACGGCAGCTGCAAGATGTCCGCCACCGAATCCTATTGCCAACGACCCATACCCACAAGCCCCGGCTGCATTAAAATCGCAGAACAAAAATTGCCCACTTCATATTTCGCTTAAATATCAATTACTCAAGCCAAAAAAAAAAAGAAAAAGAAAAAGAAAAAACAAGCTACTTTTATTTTATTTTATGGAGAATATTGATGAATCTTACAGGAAAGTGCAGAAGCTTTGGAGAAATAGGCAGCTTTTGATTGGTGCACACAGCGATCACAAGCAGTTGCGGAGGAGGCAATGAGAGAGAAGAAGAGGAAGCAAAGAAGCAAAGCCATTTTTGCCTTTAATTTGTTTTTGTTTAATTGAGAAAGTGAGTTTGTGAAGAGGAAGGGAAATTCATGGCGTATATATATGGGGGGGCTCAGTGGTATGGTATTATGGATAGAAAAGCGTGTTGGATTACAGGTCAGCATTTTCTACAAAAGCTAGAACTTTTTTTTAATTTTATTATTTTTTTTGTTAAATGTATATAGTACTAGTAGTAATAAATATGCAGTTTTTGATTTTATTATGTTTGTTATTATGTATGAAAAGGCTTGGACGTGAAGGGGGAAAGAGACAAAAGAAAAGTAGCAGGAAAAACGCGGCGGGACAAGGAAAAATAATATATGGGGCCGGCCTCTCTCACCGACTCTTCTTTTTCTTGCCTTTGCACAAACAGCTGTTCAGTGTGGAGAAATTTTAATAAAGCATTTACATGTGTTTTTGTTTTGTTTTTTTATTAATTTTTTTTGTGTCTGTGGTGGTTATGTGAGTGTGAGGGGACAAACTTTTTGCACTTTTAGGAGGATTTTCATTTTCATTTGTGGTTCTCCAATGTCCCCGCAATATTGAAATTAAAACTATGAGTAATGTAATATTACAGTTTTTTTTTTTTTTTTTTTTTTTTTTTTTTTTGCTTTCTTTTTTGGGAATTATCTTAGAGATAGTTGGATGTAGATAATGGTTTTTAGCTCCAATTATTGGGATTTGTGTGGTTTATGATTTGGTTTCTCATCCATTTTTTCTAAAGTGGGTGTTAGGGTGTCCTATTGGAGGGGTGGAGGGTCAAATAAAGCGTTGATAAAGTTTATCTAGAGAAAAATTAAAAAACAACGTGGGAGCTTTTTATTATTATTATTATTATTATTATTATTATTATTATTATTTTTATTTATTTATTTTTAGTATTACTTTTATTATTCGGCTTGGGAGGTGCTTGCGCGTATGGTCCCTAAGGAAGAAAAGAGGAAAATGAAGTTAAAGTTTGGTGAATATGATGATTGCTTCTTAATGAGTGGAAGATAAGAACAAAAGTCTACGCAAGTCCCACCTGTCAAGCAAGAATATGAGTATTGCCAAAACAAACACAGCTAAGAACCTTAATTATCTTCATTGCAAACGAATAGTTATGTAATCATCCTCTCTCAATTCTACGTTATTAATTTTGGCTCATGTGCTACTTATAACAGTGTAATGCAATCAATCATCTATAGTATAGTAATTAATTAATTAAGGGACTCATATCTTATAAATTTTCTCGTATTTGATGGAGAACCATTTTTTTCATAATAATAATAATAATAATAAAATCGATGGTGTTCTCTTGCTTTCAGCCCATACGGTCATAGTCTTTATAAATTAGCATCTAAATTATATTCGACACGTTAAAAACAAGCATGATTTCCATCTGATTATAGATAATCGATTCGTAAATGTTAAGTGAAAAAATCTTATTAAGACCTTGTTTATTTCACCGTTTTAAATTTTTATAATTAAAAATTATCAAAAAATATCACTATTTAATTTTTTTTTATACTAAAAAATGTCACATTTCAATTCAAATTAAAGACTTAAATCTGGAAAGCGAATGGGGGCTTAAATCGTCCTTTCTCACTACAGTACCAAGTAATGCAATTAAATTAGCATCTAAATTATATTCGACACGTTAAAAACAAGCATGATTTCCATCTGATTATAGATAATCGATTCGTAAATGTTAAGTGAGAAAATCTTATTAAGACTTTATTTATTTCACCGTTTTAAATTTTTATAATTAAAAACTATCAGAAAATATCACTATTTAATTTTTTTTTTATACTAAAAAATGTCACATTTCAATTCGAATTAAAGACTTAAATCTGGAAAGCGAATGGGGGCTTAAATCGTCCTTTCTCACTACAGTACCAAGGAATGCAATTAATTCATTGAGCGGGTAGAACTTCCACTCTTTATTATTATTATTATTATTATTATTTTAAAATATAAAATGCGCCACGCCTATAACCGTATTAGTTTCACTACTTTTCACCGCCCACCCAATGTCAAAGCTGAAAATTGACCATTATTCATTTAATTAAAGTTAAAAAAACCAAGGTGCATTTTATATCATGATCCACCACTCGGATAAAATGGGCTCGAAGTGCGTTAATCACTATATTGAACAAGCATCATTAGTTTATAGTTGTTGCGCACAGATGCCTTAACATGGTAAAACTTTCATCAGAGTCACTTACAGTGGGATTAGAGCTGTTGGTTACTGGTTAATCCACTACTCAAACTTAAGAAAATACAATATAAAAATCAAAGTTAAAAGAATAAAGAAAATAAATAAAAAAAGTAACTAGAACAAGAATGAGAGCCTGAATGCGGTACGGCCCATGAAATGCAAAGCAAAATCCTATTGGGAAAATCCCAAACCATGTGTCGAAATCAGACAAAGACTACAGATTTTATGGGGTTTTCTAGTTGGCCCATGTGGTGGATATCTTGACCTAACAAAGTCGGTTCATGTGGTTCATGTGTGCGTAGTAGTAGTACCAGATGGCTCCAAGATTTTCATTCTATATTTATATTTTATTATAAAAAGACATATAATTATGTGCATGCGCAATACACGTCTTACCAAATGTCAACAGCTTCGATTATAATTAGAAAAGAACAAAAGTAGATGATAACTACTTCCAAATTGTTGAACTAAAATAGCTCTGGTTGACGATGACGCCACAACAAATTGGTGCATAGTTTAGGCGTGACGATTATTAGTGCATGGGCGTGCCCAAATATGCTACAAGGGACCATTGATAGCACGTTGGCATGCTTCTGATTGCAGCAGAGAAAGTTTCAAACAAGGAATAATGTCGAAAGTTGTACAAAGAAGAAACCAAATACAGAGTCCATTTATACATTACCAAAATGTTGAATTTCAACTTTGTGGTTAAGGGGACCAATTACATTTAATGCCATTCATTACACAAATCGCTTTGTTTCAAATGCTATATACAGGACCTAGCTAGAAGCTTTTACAAGATGGAGATAATAAAACAAATGGATTAGTTTGGTAAGCTCGGATCATCAAGAATTGCACAAGTTATTTCCATTTCTGTATAAAAGGAAAAAAGGGGTATGATTTTGCCTTTTCGTAAAGAAAAGTGTTTTGGAGCCTCCAAGAGCAAAGCATTGTTGTTCTTGTAAGCTTCAAAATTTCCAGAGAGAGTTTTCATGAAGTAGGAAAGGAGTTTCAGCTTGCCTTTTCAGATAGTATTGAGAGAAGCTCTGATCGAGCTTTTTGAAGCGCGTTTGATAAGTTCTAAGGCTTCCTCCCACCTGCCTGCGCGAAGTTGGGCCTGCCGCCGCCTCCTCCTCCGCTGCACAACTTAGCAATGGGCCCTATGAACTTGCCTGCCTGTATTCCCAACTGCACCACTCCCGGAGTGAATGCAGCTATTAAACTGACATTTTCCTCACCTGGACATCAACCCAGTACCACAGCTGCTGGATCTTGAAGCGTACGTATCAAATACTCAGCTGCATTCTTAAGTGCATCAGCATCAGTGCCGTCCATGCACTCGACCAGTATAGCCTAATATGAGATTTTTCAACAAAGCGAAAAGGAGTTTAAATCAGGATTTTATTTCAAATTGATTGGAAAGTTATTGGTGCTTTTGAAACTATAGGCTCCTATGGATGTGACGAACAAGGATAAATCATGTATCAACTAGCGATCAATAGCTTAAAATAACGAGCATAAGTAATGGTGATGACGCAACTGATAGGAGGTTATTTACCGTTAAATTAAGTATTTTTGAGTTCAAATATCTTTTAAGTCTTTAAGCATTTTTTTTGTTAATTTGATGTGTTTTTAATGTTATTTTGTAGTAAAAATAATAAAATGGGACTTAGTAGTATTTTAGAGTTAAAAAGCACTCAAGGCCGCGCACAAAGGCCCTCTTGAGTAGTTTCCCCCAGGCGCGCCACCTGAGGCGCGCGTCCGCACCACACCCCACGTGCCCGTGCCACATTAGGCATGCGGCCGCACCCTCCTGCGTGCTATTGACGAACTTTGGGCCATTTTTCAGCCCTTGATCAATATGGATGGCTAATTTTGGACCCTTAGATGAGTTTGGCTAAGATTTTCTCTATGTTTGAGCATACTTAAGCAAAAGAAACCCTAGTTCTCACTTGGAGAGGATGAGAGGCACACAAATTCTTAGAGAGAGAAGCGTAGAGTTGGAGATTCTTAAAAAACGCTCGGGAGAGATTCTTGAAGATTTGAAGAATTGAAGTTCATCTCCACAAAAATTTTCTCTTCCTTATCCCTTTTCTTTGTAGTTTTTGTTCTTGAATTTGTATGGATTCCTCTATGTTGAGCTAGATTTCATATTCTTGGGCTTGATGTAGCTTTATTTGAACAATATTTTGATTATCTTGTCAATTGTTAGTTAAATTCTATTTTAATTTATTTATGTTTCTACATGCTTAATGTTTTTAATTTATGTGGCCAATGAATTAGATAATTTTATATTGTGATTTTGATGCTCGAGAGATATTGATTTCATAATATGGAATTGAGAAACATAATCTAGGTTCCGGGAGGATATCGACACTTAGATAATATCGTTGAGATTTTAGAATATTGTGAGACATGGAGGTGATCAAGTCTTAGATTATCAACTAAGATTTCTATTGTTGTGAGGCAGGGAAGCGATCGACATTTGATTTTCAATTTAAGGGCTAAACTTAATAAGTGTATGAGTAAACGGGTTAGATAGGAATATTGATTCGGGTATTCATGCATATGACTTCGTTTGACGCTCAGGGGAGGTAACGGGGTTAGATTAGGTCCCTTGATTAATGAATTGAGTAGAATTGACTAGCAATGGTTTGATAGGATGGATGAACATATGAATGATAAGGTGAAGTCAAGTCCCTAGTATATTTGTGCAAAGAAGTTTCCATATTTTATTTTGTTTTTGTATTTATATTTGTTCTAGTTCTATTTTTATTTCATTGAGTTTGGTTACCTAAATAAAGTTGAGTTACGATAATCGCAGTACTTAGTGACAATT